AACGCGATAAAACAGAATATTGTTGTTCTATTTTTAGACACATCTCGCGATCGACAAGGAATCTCCCCGTGATCGACCGGTCGATCGCGGGGAGATTGACTGGTTGGGCACCCCTGGTATAGCCCGTTCGTTCACACAAGGCCGTAACGGAAATGCGGAAACGGACCCTGCAAACGATAACGGGTCCCAAGGTGGATAGATCTGCAAACGGAACGCTCTGGGGTGCCAAATGGCTCCGTGTGTACGTCCTATACGATCATTTCCTGATAACGATGAAGCCATAGCCCCGCCTCTCCCCACCTCTGCTGCTCACTGCTGTAGCAGTAGCTACTGTCAGTAGAAGAAGATGAAGATGAAGAAGAAGAAAAAGAAGATTCAACTTATTGTCATTACGTAGTACAGGTATGTAACGAAACGGTTTCTCTGCATTTGACCCATCTTAGTGTTAGGAGCAGTGGACTGCCACTATGTACGGCGCCCGGGGAGCAGTGTAGGGAACAGTGCCTTGCCCCTGTCCCTATGGACTTCGCCACAACCACCCTAGCTACTGCTACTGACCATGCTACAAATGTTAGTGCAAAATCTACAGCTCCTCTACCACAACCATCAGCAACAAGTGGACATAGAGAACTACATGAGCTACATGTTGTTAAATCCACCACGGAGAATAAACAGAAGGGCAACCAGGCAACCATGCTCGGGGGTCTTATTCGCTGCTTTTGGTGTATTTTGTGGCGGAAGTACAGCGCTACTTACAGGCCCGGCATATGTACTACAGCGCTTTCGAGCGGTCTCGTGCGGAAGTACAGCGCCACTTACAGGCTCGGCATACGTACTACAGCGTCTCCAGCGCTTTCGAGCGGTCTCGTGTGAACGGAAGACTTTTTTGATATCGTATTCGGTTCGTTTGCGTTGCATTTCGTTTCGTTTGCGTTCCCGTGTAAATGGGGTCTTAAGCTACAGTTTGAGTAAACACTGCTTGTTGAGTCATTGTAGTAAAGGCAAGTTGTGTCTTTTTTGTGTTTTTGTAGGCCCTATATGTATTGGATTTCTTCTGGAATGAGGCGTGGTACCTGAAGACTATTGATATCTGCCACGACCACTTCGGATGGTATCTGGGTTGGGGAGACTGTGTGTGGCTGCCATACCTTTACACACTGCAGGTAACAAACACATGCATGCATGTTAAAAATGCATAGTAACAATGATGTCATGAATATGAAATGACTGGTCCTTATTGGCATCATGTGTAAACACCGTTGTTTTAGTTATGTGGGTCTTCCCTGACACCAACACATCACACCATGAGGACTAATGATTGGCAGCAAACCTAATGGGATCCACCCTTTGTAAAGGATCAAGAGACATGATTTGAACTGATCCGATTTGAATCTAAAAGATAAGGGTTGCCCATACAATACACACTGTACAGTAATAACAGTTAGTTGTTAATAACATTAAAAGTACAGTTCTAAATTGCACAAATCAAATATGCATTTTATTTCATATAGTGCATATTAGTTTCAAAGATATGGTTAAAAATAATATCTATTTGGATGAATTTGCTGCATGGAAGGTTTTTTTCTCCAGCCAAGGCTACTGCCAACCTGTTATTACTCAGCCGGTACACCAGGGGGCCTACCCATTGGGAAACCCTAAAGTCAAGTTGAAAGTAAAATACAAGACTTCTGTACTAATTTATATTGAACTTAAATCCTATGTCTTAATGCCATCCCTTATCAAATACTTGTCATTCAACCAATCATTAGTTTTGCTGTCAAATTCAGCTCTCAAATCTATAAAAGCACCAATAAGTGTACATTAATGTGATAAATGCTCTGCAGGGTCTGTACCTGGTGTACCACCCGGTGCAGCTCTCCAGCGTCCATGCCCTTGCCGTGCTGTCGCTCGGCCTCGTTGGGTATTACATTTTCCGCTCCACCAACCACCAGAAGGATCTGTTCCGCCGCACCGAGGGCTCCTGCTCCATCTGGGGCAGTAAGCCAACGTACATCGAGTGCTCGTACAACTCCGGTGACGGCGGCCTCCACCGCAGCAAACTGATGACCTCAGGTTTCTGGGGGATGGCCCGGCACCTCAACTACACCGGGGACCTGATGGGCTCCCTGGCTTACTGTGCCGCCTGTGGCTTCGGACACATCCTCCCGTACTTCTACATCGTTTACATGACCATCCTGCTGGTGCACCGCTGTGTGCGCGACGAGCACCGCTGCAGCAGCAAGTACGGAAAGGATTGGAAGCGTTACACTGATGTTGTGCCACGCCGACTCATTCCTGGGGTGTTTTAGAGAGGGCGAGCAAAAGGGGAGGCGGGACTCACAGGGATAGGGGCTACATAGATTCAAAAATAGAAATTGGAATGTGTTGTGTGTTTTATATATGTCTAGAATATAACATACTGAACATTTTACACTACACTTTGTACATTAAAAAAAAAAAATTGTAAATAAGAGCTGGACACACTCTTTCAAAAATATGCAGGTACAGACATTTAAGTGCTCTTTTTTTCCTGCCTCTTAAAGGCAGTTTGATACACCAGTATGCTGCTTCCGTTATGATGTGATCACTTAACATACTTAAAAACTATTTCAATGACAATACAATATATTTTTGGAGCTAGTAAGACCAAGCACATCTTAAACCACCCAAAGCCAAAATCAGGAAGAGAAGGAGTCAGTTCTCTAACACACAACATTCTGTGACATTCCCATAATGCACTTTGCCATTTTGATAATCGTTTATCAAGACACAACATGGCTGATTATGCTTTCTAAAATATGAGGATTTGAAGTTTCTCTGTTTTATATCTTTGTGAGTTTAACACCTTTTTGTTCCCTTGTCTGTTGCTCATAATCAATGATGATGATGTCACTTAGTTCAGGTAGCCATGATGGGGGCTTTTTTCTCACCAAGTCATTTCAAATGAAAAAAAATCAATATAGACAATAATATTGTGTTGCTGTCGAAGGGATTAATGGACCAATGAGATTAAGGGTTTCTCTGGCCTACCTCATAAAAAGTGTCATCTCTGTGTCGGATTGCGACATTTACGTTAGGTTGGGTAAAAGCACGTTTTAGCTTATTCTGTGCTAATTGAAATGGTTTTGTGTTTGTCAAAACATCATATGTCTGCTGTTTGATATTATTTCTGTATGCCAGCACTGCCTTTCCTATAGCAACATCATTCACTTCAAAAGTTTGATATTTGGTTGATTTATTCTGTATGAATACAAGCAAATAAAAAAGGATTCAAGATATGTGTGGGTATGAAAGTCAAATTGGGAAATGTATAACAAACAAAACAGTAATACATTTAAATTAAATTGCACCCCAGCATGTTATTTTGATGTTCAACATTAGGGGGCAGCAGATGACAGCTAATCCAAGTGGTCAGTTACATGTAAACAGACTTGTATTTGTATACATATCTCCATAGGTGGCGTAGGTTTACCTAAAAACATACAAACAGCTTAGAATACACATAATGTTCCTTTCACTGTCCATTCAAAGCTTGTAAATATGTTTTTTTTCATTTACCAAATCCACACCCAAACCACTGCATAATTTGCTTAATGCACTTCTATGTTGTCACACTCCTATCATCATTTAGTTTGAGCATTCGTACACTGATCAACAAAATCTCAGTGGATACTATGAATCAAAAAGGCAAAACTAGAACAAAACCCGCATAAGAATCACACTTTTTTTGTTGATTTGTAACATCTTAACCAAGGTCTTCTTCAGGCAAGCTTATTTTTTAACTTTTAATCGTCAAAATTATATATATAGCCTAGTAAATCCCTATTTCGTGGGAAATAGTTATTTTCCAGTACAAATATAAAGTTAATGGTATTAGAAGGAAAGCTTGCACAGGGTAACCATGGATACAACAATTGAGAATGAAAGTATACCTTCATGGTTGTAGATGATAAGATATAATTTAGAAACTGCAGTACCGCTTTAAATTGACCTTATGCTGTAGTTGTTTTATCAATGTTTCAAAATTAGCAATTCACCTTGAATGTTATCTTTCATGATGTTTCCTTTAAAAAAGGCATTGGAGTGAAACTACATTGGTATCAAATAAAAAATAAATGTTCTAGGTGCATTATTTTAGGTGAAGACGTCAATGATTGACAGCTTGTTCTCAAGTGTTATTAGTTATCCATGACACCTGGCAACCTATTATGCCATGTAAGCACCCTCCTGCCCCCCCATCAGTGGGTCTCCCATATCTGTAATGATACAAGTTATGGATGTAAATCAGTTATGATAATGGAAGACTAATTGATTCCCCTTGCATTCGTTCAACGCTAATGCAATATGCCCAAGATTCATTGCATTGCATTACATGGGACCACGTTACAGATCATTCTCTTTTCAGGTTAATTGATTCCCAAATTATCCTTGAAGGCGAGCAAATATTGCGTGATATTGAGGGGGCTCTACTGCTGGGCTAACTCGTTGACAGATAGCTCTCTGTGAAAGAGGTGGAAATCTGAAGTAGGGATGATCTTCCTCTGAGGACACTAAAAGCTACATTATTGAATTTGCAAATGGAGAAGCACGCACCCATCCATATAAATATCCAGTGCAGTGTACACAATAACCATATTGTGGAAGGCCCTTTTTGCAGCTGCACATTCATCTGCACTGACAGGCAGGTGGGGGTCAGGGAGAAAGAAACAACAAAGTTAGGGGAGAGTGAAAGACCACGAGGAGGTAGAGCAGAGGTTTCCAAACTACGGCCCGGGGGCCAAATGCGGCCCGCAGACCATTTTGAATCGGCCCTCAGCAAATAAAAAAAGGATAATGACTTAAGTATAATAAACTTCTGCTTGTCTTATATTGTACTTCTTAAATATATCTGTTCAAATATATTACACAGTATTCGTGAGTTAAAGGTGGGGTAGATAATTTTGGCGAAACCAGCTCGAGTGCGCTAGAATTAGAAAATACACAACCGGAAAAAATCTGCCACTTCCTTACAGAGCCCCTCCTCCAACACACACGAACGTGCACATGACCAATGAGGGCACGAGATAAGTTTGTGGACAGATGGAAGGCTGACAGGCAGGTAGGCCATCCAGTTATTTTAGCCGGGTCGGCTAAAATGATTGGTCGTGCTTTTTACAGTACTATGGCTTCCACAGATGACATTTTTTTATGGATTTTTTGTCAAAGCACTTAAGATATTCATTGCTATCGGGAAGTTAAGAGCATTCCATGGAATATAACAAAAAGTGTCTCTCGAGCCGGTTTCTCAAACTTACCTACCCCACCTTTAATAAGCCCAATTTTCAAATCAATTCAGTCAATTAAAGTTGAAAACATGTTCTAACAAATCTAAGTTGATAATAGCCCAATTAACTTACTGTATTTTCATAACAACCTTGAAATATACTCTTCATATTTCCTCTTATTATAATCAATCAGAAGCTTCTGTTTTAAGGAATGAGCTGCTAACGAAATTAATGAAACCCTATGGAGAGCTGTGATGTAAGCTGTTTTTTTCTAACAGCATTTTCAAGTATCAAGAATAATTTACCTACATTGAATTGATTTTTCCAACTTATAACTGAACTTATGAGGCAATATACCTCTAGTGAGTGGCCCAGCCTTTCGTATATTTGTCTCTCTGTGGCCCTCAGTGAAAAAAGTTTGGACACCCCTGGGCTATAGGAATGCGATATACAGAAAGCACAATGGGATACTTGGAGTTGGTGCCACTCCTCATCCAAAGTTGGCTTGATTTCCCGAGGGGCCAAATTAGTTTTTATGGGAGGTTTTGGGGGGTATGAGCGTTGTTGTTGAGAGTCAAAACCCAGGAGGAAAAGGGGCACCTCAGAGGAAAGTACATGATTTGTCAGCAAACTGCGGGCACCGACGATTTGCATGTACCATAAAGTAGAGCAGACCTCTAAAGAGCATTCCAGGACTTTAGAGGTACGCCTCATAACCACACTGCGGTGGGTGAGGTTAGCTTGACTGGCTGCTCGTGGTTGGTGGCAAGAGAGTGATTCTCGCCATCATGATGTTGATTTCTTGTGTTTGGGTTTGTTGGTTACAAATTTGCTTTTTTTTCTACTTCAAAAGACTTGCAACAGAAGCAGTCCCTTGTTTTTTATTTGAAAGCCACATTAGCTAAGCGACGGATGGTGATGACGGTCATTAGGGTTAGGGTCCGGCCTGTCCAGGACTTTGGAAATACATTGAAGGTTCTGTAGGGTCCTGCTGCCCTTCAGGATGCCATCTGTTTTCCTCAAGCTCCAGCATGGGGTAGGTTTGAAATAATTCGCCAAGTATTAAATGGGTTGCAATTTGGTACACATGTTTATATCAGAATACTGAACGAAACCTGCTGGGTACAAGCACAGGGGGCCCAAGACCTTAGGTAACTCTTGGGTCAGAGCACTGTTTAAAATCAGTGTTAACATTTTTTGTTGTGAAGTCAATCAACAACCACAAAGAGATTCCACATGTCCGCTGACAACCAACTTCAACAGTTTGTTTTTCAACTGATCTTCCTTCCCTTCCTTTTCTTCTCCTCTGATCTCTGACCTGAAGAAGGGTCTGTCCTGCTAGCTAATGGATTGATGAGTCATCCAGGATGACCGTCAGACTAAACAAAAAGAGCCACAAGTTGGATACTAAAGGTCAGGGCATGTGGTTAACCCTGGCTTTAATAGAGATAAGATACCTCCAAAAATGTGAGTTTAAATGACTTTGGAAGTCATGATTCGGTCAGATACAGTATCTGAACCCCTGCAATTTAGCAGCAACTTGAACTTTATGGCTCCAGACCAAAAGCATATCTCCTTAGCCTGAATCCAGAAAACTCGTCCCACCTAGACTCTTAAAAAATCTTCCTCCATTGTGCTCTTCCAGAGATATTGACACAGGTCTTGAATTGAGAAAAGTTATCCACCAAAATAAACTGATAGAATCCCACACCTACGTTGTAGGCTTGACTCCTTGTAAGTCACAGAGAGAGTTGAATTAAAAAGGGATTAGGAGCAGAGAAAGTATTAGAGGGATTAAAAAGTATTCCCGGGCCTCGCTACAAATCCATAGCTGATGTGGTAAAAATGATTGGTTGGAGATGCTACATCTCATATTAACAAGGCTTGTGAGGCATGGAGGCTCTGTCTTCACACATCAGTGGCCACAGCAGCAGCAACTCAGGCACCAAATTGCTCATATTTTACATGTTTGGAGTGTTCGAGATGAGGCCCTGAGTTCTTTCTCGAGCTGATAGTCAGACTCCACTAAAACAGCTTGAATCCTGCATTGCAAACGCTGAGCCAAATTGAGCTTGACTTAGCTGCAGGGGAGCTGCTGTGGCTGGAGATACAATTACTGTTTACTGGATTATAAACAATGCTGAGACATCAGCAACATTTAAATTAACTCCTTTAAACACAATCGGAGGACAGAAGGAGTAATTTGCTTTTAGTGAACTCACATACACCACAAGGGAGTTTTTTGACGTGTTTGGTTGCTTTGGGGACAGGCAGGTGTGAGGGGGCGTAGTGAACTGGCCGGATTAAGGCCAGTTGTCCAGTGGAAGAGAGTTGGGGTAAGGGATATTGCTGCCAATCTGGGCACAGCACCAAGGACCCATCTGACCGGACCTTCTCACCCTCTGAGGCCTCACCCTGCTCCACAATTTGGGATATTAGCTGGCATGGCATTCAGAGACGATGACTACCACCAACAGTGATTTCGGATTCAGACTGGGTCACAAGTATTTAAGACGCACACATTTTTTTAAGCAAAATCTGAAATATGAATTCACAAAAAAAACAGTGAAAGTATGTCTTTAGTCACACCAACCAACTGCTGACAAACAAAACAATATATGCGCTTTGCTTGACATTCTTGTATGGCGCATGTAGTTGTAAAATGATAATTGCTAATTTACCACTTAAATATTTGCAATTTCTTTAAACAATGGACCCTTATTCCAGACAGAAGTTGACTGCAACTTGCAGATTTTATCAGCTATAGCTCAACCCCGAAACCCATCAGCTATCAGTGTGACAATGATTAGCCTCGGGGGGCTAAGGGGTATATTAGGGGTTCTGGTGTAGCGAGATGATATCTGGGTTAAGACTTCCTCTTTACAGGGCCCCTCATTGTTTACAGTCCCATTATCAAACTGGGATGGGAGAATTGGTTTGGAAAAAAAGCCAACAAGTGGATTGTTTAACAAGTAAAATAGCAGTTGGGTTTTTAGGTTGCATTTTATTTTTTA